AGAATTTTGTTGTTCCTTTTGAAAATCAACTTCCCCCATCTTCTGGACAACAGCGTTTCAATCCTTGCAGAAGATCTATGTGTGGTAACATTTGTATAGAGTAATTTAATGATCAGGAACTCAGCCATTCTCAGAAGGATTGTACTGATGCCATTTATCCCTCGGTTAACACTACTGAAGAAGACAAAATGCTGGCCAGACTGAAAGTAAAATGTTAATCAGAGAATTTAAATTCTGCCGAAGCTGGGAGCCAGAAGCTGGTCAGTTTGCCTTCAAAGACCTGTTTTTACACTTTCTGGGGACAAAATATCTGTTCTTGTGCTTTTCTCAATCCCACTGATGTTTTATGGAATCACATTATTGGAGGGTTGAAGCCTTTCTGTGGAAGTCTTTTTGAGTCACAAATCCTTATGTCCTTGGCTTAAGTACAGTCCAAGAGTTCTCTTTGTCAGACTGCCTCACAGACAGCTCCATCCCCTTTAGTGACACCCTTCACAGCATGGGATCTATCAGAGGATTAAAACTGAAAAGGACCTTCACGGTTTAATGAGAATAAGCATAATGTTTGTAGCTCAAAATTTCAGCAGGATTTTGAGGGGGTTCCCTCAGAGAAATCCTGTAGGCTAATTTAAGTTTGGTTGAAAATCACTTCAAAGTATTACATTATACATATACTTTTGCTAGATTTCAAAAGATGCATTTATAGAGAAAAGGAAACTATTTCAAAACCTAAGGATTCTAAGACAGTATGTTCAATTTCATGCATTCTTCTCCTAAGAAGAAATAATGAAATTAAGGGAAATGGATGATACCCAATTCTGCTTTGGTTTCTGAGCACAGTATTTGATTATAGTCAATTTTTACAGTGATTGTAAAACAACTCAAGGGTAGATCAATTCAAAAAAATTCTCCTTAGAGACACTTTGTATTTAAAATCTGGGCAGTTGACAAGTTATGGCCTGTGTTTCATAAGAATTATATTTTTTTTCAACACAAAGATGTCAGTTGCTATTCATTTCAAATATAAGTACATTTGAAAAAATTTAATTCATTGATTATTGAAGTATCTCATTTTTTAATTTTATAGATAAAGCTCTCTGCTGATTTCACATAAAACTTTTGGATCCTACCTTTGGAGTTTAAAAAATAGTCTTTTTCAGAAAAATATGAAAAAAAACTGCTTTATTTCAAACACAAGATGAATGTCTTTTAAAACAATGAGAGGACTACTTAGAATTTTTATCTAAAATGTGTTTCCATTTGCTGTTACCATGGAAAACACACATATTACCATCCTCCACCATCTACCACTGAGCTAATATATTAGAATGTCTGGCAATTCTGTATTTATCCCATGTACCACCTCTCAAGCATATTAGAAATCTGTTTATTTATCTGAGAAAAAAACCAAACCTTGTAAATACTGAAAAACTGAAAAATCTCTCACTGGTCAATTTTGTAAGAAGTTTTGTGATGTTTTCTGTTTTTGTCCTTTTTTAAAAATTTTCAGTATTTTCTTTCCTAACCAAGCTGGGAGCAATGGTGCAGATGGTGGCTAGCATTTACTTCTGTGTTCAAGGTCTAAATCTGTCGACCTTTACACTTCTAATGCTGTAGTATAATATAATGCTGTATTTCCCCTGCTGGAAATAACAATGAGAGAAAAAAAAGTTGGGATACAGCAGTGTGTTAGCAATGGAGCTCCTTGCACACTATCTATCACAATATACAAAGGTCTAGGCTGTCTTTAGCGTCACACCTGGACAGATTTATCCCAGCTATCTTCTGATGGGATGGGCTTCCTAAATGTAGGTAGGATGAATTCTATAATGAGTAATTTTTTAGTTAAAAGGCACATCCTTGAATACATTCTATGTGACTTTTTGCGTTATTTATCAGTGATTGCTATGACAATTGGAGGGCAGAAGCAGTAACAGATTTTACTGTTTGGATTACTTTGCTTTCATCTTAAAATCTGCAAGCACTGGCATTTTTTTAAATTAGTTTAAGTAGGAGAAAGGCTTCCTTTGCTTACAGTTCACATCATATTCTCTATTTTTTTTATTGCTGCTGCATTTTACTTTAATATTTAAAGCGCAAAGAAAATATATTCTAGGAATGAACTCCCAAACACATGTATACATTTACTAAATACAGGTTTGAAAATATGCTAATGTTTTTAAAAGACAAAGAAAAAAAAGGTATGACTGAAATAAAGCCCTTGCCTTTATCTAAGTAACATAAGCTAATGAGTATTAACAAAATTACAGTAAGTTTCTGTTTTAAAAAAAGTAATTGTTTTTCCCAGTAAAGACTGGGATTTTATTTTGAAATGAAAGGAAAACAGGTCAGCAACATCATACTGAAAAGCTACTACACAGAAAAAAATCAAATTATGGGTCTTGAAAGTTTAGGGCTTTTAATAATTTAGTACCTGTGGAATCCAGGCCATGTAACAAGGGAGAACAGATGACACACTGGGAGAATCATGCAGATTTTCTGAAAGTCGATTTCCATCGAAACGACAACCTTCCAGTTGTAAACCACTGATCTGCCATGGATATATAAAATATTCAAACATAAATAACAGACTTAAAATGTCATTAATGATTACACTGTGCTTTAATAAACGATGAACCTTTTTACTGTGACCAAATTTTTAAATAACAGGAAATTAATTACTCTTATGTTCTTTGTGAGAATAGGAAACGTGATTTAAAAGCAAGATCTGGTCCACACTTCATTGTGAACTTCCTCTGATTTAGATTCACATTCTTTGAAATGTCGGAGAAAAATACCTGTAAATGTCATCAATTATGAAACTGCAGTTGCCTGGCATTAGATTAATGGAACTATGATAGCAACAGCCAAGTTCACAATCATTACAATGTCTAGAAGAAGAGAAGAACAATCACTGTAAGAAGCATGACTTCCTGCTTGGAAATCTGAGCATAGCTTTCAAAGAATGGAATGTGCAACTACACAGCTTCAGCAAAAGCAAACAAAATATATTGAAATAATAGGAGAGAAAATTTTATTTAACAAACTAAGATTTCTTAGAAATACTGTTGTTTGGCAAAAACTTAAATAAGAATCACAGATATTCCTTTAAGTAACTATGCAATGCTTAATTTGCAACATGTTTCAGGTGTTTTCTTTTAATTAAGTAATTTCAGCCTCTGAATTACATTTTCTATTTTTTCTTCTCTGGAATCTTCCATAAGTTAGAGACATCTATTCTGGATAGAGACATCTATTCTGGATTCCTTAAAAAAAAATTCAAATATTTGCTGATCATTTTATTTTCCTCAGTACAAATAGTACAATAAGCTTTTCAAAAGGCTAACTGTCCAGCTGCAGCAGTTTTCTAACGGAAGCTATAATCTCAAAATCATCTGTCTGTTATACTATCATAATAAAGCCCTGAATTAAATTTATCATACTGAGGTTGGCTTTCACCAAATACAAGGTTCATAAAGCAGTGCTGGAAGTAAGAAATACAATGTTTCTAGAAACTGGATGAATGATCACATAAGCAAAATGGAGAAAAAAAGCCATTTTCTAATATATTTTCCCTTGCAAGAAATTTTGAAACATCAGATGGCAAAAAGGGACTGAAGTATGATGTTACAATGAAGATCAGTATCATAGAATATATAATGGATAAAATTTCCTTAGGTAAGTTTAGTATCCTAAAATTATTTATTTGACATGAAAAGATGGAATTAAATAGTAACACATTGGGGGTTACTGTCATGCTTGAAAAGCAATGCTTTCCTCCCCAGTGTTAGGGGTTTTTCATTAATATTATATTAACTGTAAACTAGATAAGATTACATTTTGCATTTTTAATATCTAATTATTCTTTTGATTGTAGACAGGCATTACACTCTTCAAGAATTTGCTTCTTTAAACTCATATTTCTCTTTTACTGCTGAGCTGAGCATCCTTACAATGTGCAAGATGCAGATGTGAATATTCTAACATGAAAAAAAATTGCTATAACACATGTCATTTAAAAAAGACACAGGGCAAAGTTGTGTTTCTCCTTGGACAGACAGTGATCAGAGAAGTGACAATGTTCTTTGAAGCAACCTGTGCTTCATACAAACTAGGGCTTGTAGTGAAACCACCAAAACTGTGGATTACCTGAAGCAAAACAACCCCAAATGGAAAATTCAGAGGAGATCCTTTGTCTAATTTTCACACAAATTTCAGAAAGATTCATCTCCTCTGTTATTCCTGTCCTTCTTGCTTTCTGCAGGGAATATTTTTAGGGACCACAGTTTAATAAATAAGTTTGGCAAAGTAATTGCATGAAGATTTGTCTGATGAAGAGGTTTTATGATTTGTTGCTAGTGTTCAAAGGTCTTGCCAACCTTAACATCTCTGAAAGAAATATCTATAGAAGTGGGTCACCTATTGAAGAAACTTTTTATTTCATTTCTTCATTACACATTTCTTCTTTTGATATTGGCAGTCCCTTTGACATTACAGTCATGTAAAATAATACCATTTGATCACCTGGAAAACTTCAACCAATGGTAGAAACTCCTTTGAAGATTAAGACCAAATTTTTACTTTCATTCAGTATTAAAAGAATTTAATACTTAATTAAAAGAATATTAAGAAAAAAACCCAACAATACTAGAACAATGTACTTTCCAATACCATTTGGCTGAGTATGGCCATAGCCATGTTTTCATTTCCATAACAAACAGTAAAGAGAAATTACAAGTGCTATAAAAGACATGAATTTCACAGCATCTGTAATATAATCATAGTACCTTTGAAACTTAGCAGAGAGTAATGGCAGAAGTTGACCATAATTTTAATTTCTTCCAAAGAATTTGGCAGTTTACAGCTATTGGTACTAGTTTAGGTTCAAAAAAGTTCTTTTTACACATTCCAGACTATGTTTCTTTAAAATACCTTTGTAGAAAGTGTGCTGATACCATGGTCCAAAGCATGTCTGTTTCCAAATTTCAAATTCTCTGCAACAGATTTTCCCTTACTAATTAATGCCATAATTTTCCATGACACGATGCAAACTGCAGCAGACTTCAGGAAGTCGTATTTTCACTTCATTACCTATACAGGCCTCCATCATTAATTTATTGATATTTCAGGATGAAGGTATACTGTAAAAAAAGACCGCTCAGGATGCCTTATAATAATATATCTGTCAGTTGGTTAGAGTGTAGTTTAAGTATTATTACTCATATTGTGTATTTGAGACTTTCAATATTTTTTTTATTTTTCACTATGTATATTAAGTTCTACCCAAGGTTGTATTACTTACTACCCAAAAAGTCTCTTGCCATGTTTCTTCCTTTCTTTCACTCTTTTCTAAAATACAGAAGATGTAATGCCAAAAGGAATGACTACCTGCTTTTGTACAACAGCACAATCAGTGCACAAAGCAAACAGAAGAGATGTATTTGCATATCAATATGTGATTATAGTGCAATAGCCGTACATTTTCAGTACCTTTTGTTAAAGCAATCCGGAGTGATATTAAAGAAGTTGTAATTTCATACAGATTGATTCTAAGTGATACTGAAGAAGGTGTAATTTTATACAGATTGATTCTAAATCAAATATTCAACACATCCTACTAGAGGAGATCCACTCCACATAATACATCTAAACCATTACCTGAATTAACACTGATAATTTAACATCTGATTTGATAATTCATGTAAGACTAAGGTGTGTTCTTGGCCTGATTGAATATTCCTCTGCCTACTTTGTAGTTTCACTGACAACTGTAGCACTGCATGCTTCTAACTTACAGATGATCATGGTAAATTATTTGTATTTTTAGGCATAGAAAGATCAACTATCGACAATTTCTGAATTTAAAATCATGGCAAGACGGAGAAAGCATTTTCATTGTACAGATCATAAAGAGATCTCCTTCTTTTCCTTATCACAGAAAAAAAAATCTAAGCCATCAAAACCTTTTAAAAATAAAAGTAAGAAGAAATCTTGAAGAAAATGTCTTCAAGACATTTTCATCATGACATCATGCCTGACAGTTTACTAAGCAAGTTATATTAAGTATGTGTGACTATCAGGTTTGAATTGACCTGTATTCCTACTTCTGCCAATCTTTCAACAGAGACATTCTATTAGGCTTTTAAGTATTTGTTGATTCAGGGACTTGAGTACAACTCTCCCACACTCAAACTGAGTCCCCCAACTCTGTGAATACAGAATAAAGTCTCTCAGTGGAGTTAATTACCAGAGTATGTGTTTAAGGACTTATCTATTCTGCTGAATAGATTGAATTCTTTTCTTTTACTTTCAGTTCCGACTCAGAATAGCCTCCCATTCGACAAGGTTAGCCTGAATTCTTGAAACTTCATGTAAAACATTTACTTTACCAGTATTAAAATTCATACTTCTCAGGTGAACCAATCTTAATGTACAATCCAGAGGATCCTTACCAAACAAGACACATTTCAGAGAATGATTTTCCTGAATCAATGACACTTTTATACCCTAGTTATAGGCTCTGTGATATATAGCTTTGCTAATGGGAAAGTTTCTCCTCATGTCTCCATGAACATGAGGAAGGACTCATGGTAGGGAAATCTAAATATTCAGCATTGCAAAGGGTTCCAAATCCTTTCTGTTCACCAATGATTACAAGGACCAGTGAAAATGCTAGTGATTTCTTACTAGTAGAGAATCAATGAATATTTCTCTTACAGAGGAAAAGATAATATTCAAATCAAATGAAGAAACTTCACAGGATTCTTATGTTTTGCTAAAAATAACCACTCACCTAACTGCTTGTACTATTCCCAGGGCAGAGAATTTCCTCTTAAACAAAATTCTCTTTTGATTTTCAATCCCTCTTAGAACATGACACATTCTTGTAAAGTAATAGATTATATCCATTAAACTTTTTGCCCACACATGATATAGATTGTGATCTGGACAAAAGTGAGATTCTAACTCATGAAATTGCAGCTTCAATTTTCATCTAAAAGGTGGTTGAAGATCATATTGGTTGGAGCAATGAACTTAATTTTAAAATGAGACCAGTGACCAGGGAGGAGAAAAAAGATAACTGCTTTCCTTTTCAAATTTCTGTGGAATTTTGCACTGCCATTTTAGTAGCTGTACACCATTAACCAGCCTTTTTATCTCAAGTGCACCAATTATTTATAGCTCAGTTTTCCGGGAAGTTTATGGATAGATGAGTTGGACTATACTGATAAAACATCCTCATAAAATCCTAGTAAAACATTCTAGTAAAATACCTTAACTTGGAGTTTGCCTTCCTGTATTCGCCCTTTCCACGAAGCTGTAAATTTAAGACTGTCCACTGAACACCTCATTAGTCTGCAATGGAAACACACAGTACATCTTACAGATGTGTAACAACAGTATAACAAACACAAAACCAAACCCAATGTATTTTCAATGTGTACTATATCATGCTAAGTCTTACTTTGAAGAAAAATACATCTCTAACTGAAAAAACAAACAAACAATCAGCATTTAAACAGGTAAGAGCTATTTTACTTCAAGGTAAGAAATAAAAATAAGATGACTGATGACAGCAATTCACATAACTTTTTGGATCTGCGTATTGAAAATGAAATAACCATCCCCACACAGAACAATGGCACATTAGCACAAATAAGCACATTATTTCCCCTCACCTTGCAGTCTCCTGGCGTAAGGCATTGAGAAATGTGTCTGGATGAAACAGCTCAGAAAGGTCAAGTGTGTCTGACAACAGTTTCTGTTTCTCTGCTTTTTCTACCCAATTCTAAAAGAGAGAATATAAAAAAAGAACTAAAAAAAAAAATCATGAAATTATTGAAATTATTACTTGATCTTTCAATATTTTGATTTAATGTGGGTATGTAAATTATTATGATTAATGAAAAATGTTTGTATAAACATACTGTAACCTCAAAGCTTAATATTAATTTCAATTAATTCAAACTGTTAAAAAGGAAATTAATATCCTTTTAAAATATAAGGAAAACCAGCAGTTTATGTAACATATGTAACATGACTCATCCATTCTAAATAAATTCATGCATCACTCTTTGTTCATTGCAGCTTACTTTGTACTGTGAAAAGTTGTCCCTGTAGAGTGAAAATTATAATTTCAATCATTTTATAATTGTTGAAACCCTATTTCACCTTTACTTACCAGGGAGTTTATGTTTTCCATCAAAATAGCTGTCATTTCTCTCTTTGCTTTAATAAGTTCAGGAAAATAACTGCATTCTTTTTAGGTACATTTAAATTTAGGTACATTTAAATTTCTTTTTAATTTAAGATAATTTTTTCATATAAATGGCATATTATATTGAAGAAACACTTGATTTTCAATCTGCAGTAACAGTTTTTATAAGGACTTGCCAACAGGTTTTTTAAATATTTCCTACTACTAGGTTGATGCTGCCATTTTTAGTGTATTAGTCTGAGATGTGAATTCACAGAATTTGTAAGATAAAAACTGGCCCCCGATATACTTGGTAATGAATGAGTCTAACAGAGGCGGGGGTGAACAACTGTCCTCAATTATCCTTACAGAGCACATGCCTCAACCATCTTCCACTCCTTCTTACAGGCAGCTGTGAATCCTGTTAGGAGCAGCAAGCTTGGAATTTCCCACCAATGCAACACCTTATGTGCCAACATGAGAAAAGAGACACACATGGCACCTCACAATCTTTATAAACCACACATCCTGAGAAATACAATCTTAGTTTGATCCTCAAGACATTAACAATCTCAGAGAATTTGCTCTTTTTAGACAAGTTATTTAGGTACCTAACTGGTTATGCAACAGTCTACTCTCAAAATCCTCTTAACCTTTTACTGTGTATCGCTTTGGTACAATTTATTTGTATGATATAGTCACAGTCCTTGCTGTGGCACTGCAGTATGAACCTGGAGTCACTGTATAATGCACCCTACAAGTAAGCTCTTCACAGACAGATTAAGTCCTCAAGGTCAGGCTGGATGGGGCTCTGAGCAACCTGGAAAAGTGGAAGGTGCCTCTGCCCATGGCAAGGGTTTGGAACCAGATGATATTTAAGGTACCTTCCAAATCAAACCAATCTGTGATTCTAATGCTAAGATAGAAAACAATCAGAGAATATGACTCCACATGCTATCACTAAACGGTGAATACCCACACCTTTCAAAATACCAGCTCCCAGGAAATTATAAAATTGCTGTAGTCACTGAATAAAAAATCTTGGAAGTTACACTGTCATCACACAATGTACCTGCCAACCCCCCATATCATGTTTAAAAAGTACCTTACTGTATTGTTTGAACTGCTGACAGATTAATAATTCCACAGAACCATTTGAAGTGACAAAATCATCAAAAATGCAAGTATATATCACTCAGTAAGTTTTATTTTATTTTGGCAGTGTGTCGCACACATCTCCATAATGTTTCTACGATGTTCAAGCCTTTAATCAGTTTTATTGGGTTTTTTTTATCTGCCACATCCCTGATTATGAGCCCTCGACCCAAATGTTTGTGAATCAGTTAAGAGATTTTTCCTTTCCATTTTCATTAGGTAAATGTACACAGTTAATGACTCTTGTCTGCATGATTCTTTCAATGACTTTATATAACAATTTTTTTTTATCATATATCAGTAACTCTGTATGCTGGTTAGGAGAGGTTTTGTAAATTGTTTTGTGTAATAAAAGTAGATATAATTTCAACTTGTATTTAATATAATCATTCTATTGCTGTCATCAAATAAACTTTTAATGTAACTGCTACAGAGAAACACTGTCAGGAACACAGATGTTTATATTCCACCCAATTAAAAGACCAGTATGGGTGATATTAATTCTGAACTCATATAATTAAGTAGCTCTAGGTTGTACACAGTAACAAAAACTTTCATTAGATCACAAAAACAAAATTGTAATGGCTTGTACTGCTCTATATAAAGCTGAATATGTAGCTCATTTACATCCATTTAAATAAATAATTTTAGATGCAATCAAATGTATTTTACAAGCCAATTGTAAATAATATCCTTATGCTTATTTTAGTCCTATAAGACCATATGACAGCCTATTAGGGAAATGCTAGTCTCAAAAGACAACACCACTATTAACAGATCATTTGTCACTGGTAGTGCCACTGCCACAGGGCTGCAAGAGATCAGGTGTTGATGGGAAGGAAGCTGAGCTGTAGAAAGACTGAAGTGATGTTTCTTGAAAGGGAGAAATCCTGCAACAGATAAGATCCCTCCTCCCACCCCAACTCTGACAGAAACATATACTGACTGCATTTGTCAAATTGATGAAAAGTTGTTTGACTTCTTACTCATCTTGGATGGCCATGCAGCACTTCAGTCTGAAGGGCTTTCTTCCATCACCAACTCTGCCAACAAAGTGATCTACATGTCCAAATATCCTAACCCTGAAAATATTTTTACTACAAAGTTTTTTAAAAAAATCTATCATCCACTCTTCTTTGCAACTGCTTATTTCAAAATTTGATTATTTCAATATTTTCTGAATCTTTCCTTTCACAGTTACACAAAAAATTTAATTGTCTGTGATAGATTTAGAAAGTTATGATTATAAATATAATATCAAAACTTCTCAGTGATACCCAAAATGCTTGAAAAACTATTTCTGGCAGGATATTTCAAAACTTCCAATAGCGTGGTGTTCTGTGTGCTACAATAAAAACATTTTCTTTTCTTTTCTTTTTTTTTTTCCATTACAGAAGCAAGCTTATAAGCAGGGTCTCAGGTGGTTCAAATAATATTTTTCCATGCATTTTAACATCCAAGAAACATCTAATCCACTTTCAGAGAGAAGCCTTCCTTATCATCTATATTCCTAAAGCAAACTGAGCACCTCATTGAACAGTGGAAGGAATAAGGAGGCTGCCAGATTTTCATTATTATTTGTACAGCTTTAGGATCACAGAACTCCTCTAAAATGAAGCAAGTACTCTTCCTTTACCAGTTTTAATTCATTCCAAATGTAGATTCTTCTAATGCATTTTTCTATTGCTGTGGTCCCCAAAGAGAACTTATGCTGAAAAAGAATCATATAAATCACCACAGAAGTGATTTGATTTTTGTGCCTAGATGGAAAATTGTATTCAGTGTTACATGAATATGCATAGCCAGGAACCATACAGCCTAATTCTGTTTTTCAATTGGTTTTAGAAGTTTTCCACATTACTAGGGAAAAACATGCAGAACTTTGTCTAAGTCTGAGAGCGAATGATAGTGAGTAGCACTGCTAGGGGAGTAAGTACCCAGTTAACTGGAGTTTAGACTGAGCAAAGGTCAAACAAGCAGTTATGCTACAGTCCCATTTTCCTCACAGTGCAGCAGCTGTTCTACAGGTGTGCTCCTAAGTGCAGGCATTCAGTGGCAAACACAAGCAGGAGTGACAGTGTTACAGCTCAAAGAAATGAAATAGAGGGATTTTTCCAGGCATTGAGCCCAGAGGGGGTAATGCCTAAGGTTCTGAGAAAAAACTGGTATACAGCAACTTGCACCCTTGTGGTAATTCTTTGTATGTGAAATCCTTGAGCCATGATTCTTGAGGTAGTTATCCTTTATTAAATGAACATATGAATGCTGCAGTATTTCAGGTATATGATAAGGTGTTAGCCCATACTTACAAATGATAAATAACAGAGTAATTTCATTTGGAGTTTATGTTTGGTTTAAATTTTTCCCTTCCCTTCCTGCAGACTAAAATCCCTGGCTACTACTTTAAACAGGATGCTTTTAAAGCTTTATTTCAGTTTGCTACAGCTCAGCCCCCGTATTTGTTGAGGAAGTCAGCAATACACAACAGCACAGTGTTACAGCATGAATGTTCTAGTTCCCTTAGCATCAGCATGTTGGCTAACCATGTGCTAGAAGCAGACACATAGTAAGGTACAGCTGACAGAAATATTAGCAAATGTGATCTCATTCTGGTTACTGTATTTGTTCATTTTTTATCAAAACAGGAACTTAACTTCTCCTGAATTTCTGTTTCCTACATTTAATATGGATACCAGAATGATGCATAAGAACTGTAACAACATTCTGACAAGTTCATGATTGACATATGCCAAAAATACCTACTTTCAGATATTTCCTGTATGATCACTAAACACAGAATCCAGTGAGGCAATACTCTTATGCTTCATGCCTTCTAGTCTCTTTTTTCTCTAGTAGATCAGTCACCAAGCACTAGATTGCACTTGCATTTACCCGGCAGACCACAACTGGGTAAGGAAGTTTAAGAACTGGAACTATGGTGGAACCAACTCCCCATCTCCAAAAATAAGTTGCAGGGGATGGAAGACAGTGGCATACAATATTCATTTGCAGATAACAGACTAGACTGCCTACAGTCTTGGACAAAGTCAGGGCTGCATCAGACATAAATCCTTTGCAGAGCTCTGGAGCAGGGACACTGAAATCTATATTGTGATGGTGCTGGTGTGTCTAAACAGGGGTACAGAGTACTCAATATATTAGCCACTGGTAATGACGGGATGCACTGCAGTCATTTGTTTTACAGTACCAGCTTGAAGGCTGTGTTACAATGAAGAGAGCCAACAAAGAGCTGCTTCCTTTGCTGTGGCCCGTTTTCCCTGGTAACGCCCCATGAGATATAGGTTTTCCATTAGTCCTTGTTCCTCCACTGAAACAGTGACCCCTTGAACAGCAGTCACCAGTCTCTCTGCATTGTTTTTTCCTTCTTGTTTACTAGTCATTTATTTTTTGTTAACATCCTCTCTTTAGGCTGTCAA